TCAGGGACCTTACATGCTGGATCTTATCCGATCTTCTTCACACCATTTAGAGGTACTTCCTATCCTCCTCATGGGAAAACTGAGACATGGAGAGTGAATCATGGCAAGTCACCCAGCCAGTGAGCCGCAGAGCCCTGCACCTGCCCAAGGGCTCCTCCATCTTCAAGCTCTTGTTCATCCTTCCTTCTCTTGTTATTAGGGGATAGCAGTAAAAGCAAAGGAGGCAAGAAAAAGGGCTCATCCTTTCAGACGGTGTCGGCCCTCCACCGGGTAAGAAGGGCCTAGAGATGCCAGCAGACCTGTGATGGGTAGGCCTAGCCCTTTGGCTGCACCACCCTAACCTGATGCTCTGAGTTTGGGGAGGAAAGAAGCTAGAGCTACGTGGTCATTTTTGGCATGTAAACTCTGCACAAGTCTGAGCTCATGTCATAAATTATGTCAGCTCCCTGTCCTTTGGAGGGTGCTGGTGACAGGCGTCTGGGGCCCAGGGCTCAGGAACAAAAATGACGGTCCCTATGGCTCCTGACTTCCCACTCTCGTCCACCCCCAGGAGAATCTGAACAAGCTGATGACCAACCTGAGGACCACCCACCCTCACTTTGTGCGCTGTATTATCCCCAATGAGACAAAGTCTCCAGGTGAGCCCCAGACTCGGGCAGGCCCACTGCTGGAGTGGCACTGCTGCAGGGACAGGGCCTTCTAAGTTGTCCTCATCACCCGCCACGGCGCCCTCCAAGCCACATTATTCTCCTCCTGTCCCCCATGAGGTCTCACAAATTACCTCACCCCCCCACCCCACCCCCAGTGCTACCTAACAGTTGGAATGTGTAACTCAGGATAGTGAGTAAGCACTTTGATGGATGTTACCTCACAAGTGCCCTTCAACCCCCAATGAGACATATAAGCATTGTTTATCCCTTTTTGATTGATAAGAAGATGGAGGCTCAGGGGCCTGGGTTCCAGGGCTGGCTGTGTTCTGATCAGCTGAGTGAACTTGGTCAAGTCCCTTAACCCCTCTGGGCTCAGTTTATTCTCTAGAAAATGGGATATATCTGCCCTGGCTACTGACTATGATAATAGGCATAAATTATATAAAATTAAGAATGTGAAAGCCTTTTGGTTACTCTTAAAAGTATGGCTAGAAAAAAGTGAAAAAAATAAAGGATCATTATTAACTGACTTGCTGAGGTTTTCAGCTAATAAGTAGCAGAGCCAGGATCGGAACCCAGAACTTTTGGCTCTTAGTCCAGTGCTGTCCCTCCACACCCCTCTCCTCTCCCTCCTGCTGCAGGGGTGATGGAAAACCCCCTGGTCATGCACCAGCTGCGCTGCAACGGCGTGCTGGAGGGCATCCGCATCTGCAGGAAGGGCTTCCCCAACCGCATCCTCTACGGGGACTTCCGGCAGAGGTGGGTACCA